CTCGGGTAATAATTGGGCCGACCAAGGCTTGGTTGCCCAGTCTTGGCCCAAGCTTGGGTCACAATGAATCGCCACGGCTAGATTAGCCAGTCTTGGCTCAAGCATGGGTCACCAATGAATGGCCAAGGTTAGGTTAGCCAGTCTTGGCCCAAGGTTGGGTAATCATTGGTATGGCTGAGGCTGGGTTAAACAGCCTGGCCCACGCATGGGCCAATACAGGTACGCCGAAGCTAGGTTTCCCAGTACTGGCCCAAGCCTGGCCCCTTTGTCAACTCTGGGGGTTTCCTGCATGGGTCCCTGCAACTTCCCTCTAATTCGATAATTAAGCGCTCAAAACTGCACTTATGACGTTTTTGAGATCTTCGAGCTCAAAAGTCTGATAAAGTCGGTTTAATAAAACACTATAGAATATGTTCTTTAAATTTTCAATCTGAAATTATTTTTGAATGAATAAACCGATTTTTCAGTAATTCGCAAAATTCAACACAATTTTTTGAATCCTATGTTTTACTTTTAAACACAAATTGATCAGAACAAAAATTTCGAAATAATTCGATAATATAACTTTTTTTCGATTTTTTTGTTAACCATAACTCACGAACGAACCAACCGATTTCGACCTTATTACCTTATTTTCCTTAGATTTATAACTATTATTATCTCAAGATCACTATTTAATTAACCCACCAGTACTCGTGTATTTTTTAGTGTGTCACTTGGACTGCAGTGACATTTTACAAATTAAATGTTGTTGTGAGAGAAAAAAATCTCAGTGTGAGTACTGACGGGTTAATGCATAATCAAGCTGTTGCAAGAGAAATATTGTTAAAATGATTATCCTACCAGATGAAAATTTCAATTTTTCAACGGGATTGAGAATTGAGACCACAGGTTATTTATTTTTTTCCTCGATGCAGAAATAAAATTAGTTTTTGATAATCTCACCGCTATTAGCGCAGCATATTCTATAATATTACTGACAAATAGCACATTCTAAAAAACTTGTATCATATAAACGATAGTAGCGAAGAATATAAACATGACAATCGCCCTATAAATCACTCGTAAAAAGGCGTTTATAAATTTGAAATACCGTTTGACTATTCCTAATCTTGCAAACCGCACAATTTAGAATGAATAAATTTATTATTTTCCATAAATAAGCATTATCATTCAGCACTAGAAAAAAATTATTATGCTTAAATTGAAGCGAACTAGAAATAAAATCTGTTCAATCAAAAAATTTCCTTTAAGTTGCATTATAGTGTACTGCATAGCACCAAATGATAGTGTAATTATTCATCATAGATTTTTTCATGCCATAAATGTCAAAATATCGAACTAGTGGCAATAAATATTAACAATTTTATTTATTTCAATGCCTCTAACACTAACAAAAAATTTCTTTTCTGACAAATGACTAATAATACTTAATTCTAAACTATTAATGACTAAAATAAATTAGCTTCAACTATTCTATCATCCATATTTCATCTCCGTTGTCCATGTTTCATTTCCGTCGAATTCATCGACACTAGTTTAAAAGTTATCTCAAAAAATGTAAAATTTCTGGTAAAAGCATCGCTTCAATTTTTGAAAAGCTATAACTTTTGAACACCATGATATATTTTAATTTTTGACACGGTATCCGACGCAGTTTTTTGAGCTTCAAAGACATTCTCGAAGAGCTCAAAAGCATAGAACAGCTAACTCTTTAAGCTCGGACAGCTCAAAACAACAAATAAATTATAGTTTTGAGCTCGAAGAGTTCAAAAACGTCATACGTCCAATTTTAAGCGCTTAGATATGGAATTAGCGGGAAGTTGCAGGGATGGCCTTAGGGTTAACCACTCGAAGAGCTCAAAAACGTCATAAGTGCAATTTTAAGCGCTTAGGTATGGAATTAGCGGGAAGTTGACAGAATGGCCTTTAGGGTCAACTGTTTTCCTAATTTTTTTTTGGTTTTTTTTTGGAATTTCTCAAAATCTATCGAGCCGAATCGATTCAAATTTCTCGGAAATCTAGGTTGAGTGGAACCCTTTCGATTGCCATCAACTACCTTCCGATTAGTCAAGCCGTTCAAAAGTTCTAAAAGGTTTACACACACACTTATACATACAGACATACTGACGTCATCGTGAAATTAGCCAGAATAGCATTCTAGGACCTCAAAACGTCGAAATCTGATGAAAACTCAATTTTCGAAAATTGGGGTGAAACCAATAACTTCCTTATTTTTTTGAAAATTTTCAATTTTGCTAGTGGGAAGAAAAATTAATCAAAACGTATTATTCAATAGTCATAATCAATGATAGGTTGTAAAAGTGTCACGATTGTCAGCAGAGAAAAAATTTCTTCAAAACATTTCCTCGGCGAACCATTGCAAATTCGATTTTCTACTGTCAATGAGCTGACAATTGATTTGATATCTGTTAAAAAAAATTAATTATTATCAAGTAATTTTTTGTATCCAAAAATTATACCATTTAATTATTGTTTTATTATGACATATTTATCAAAATTTTAGGATTATCAAAAGGTAACGTGATGATTGTCTCACAGCATCAAGCAAACAAAAGCAAAAGAAAAACATGGAAAATTAGATTCAAGTTTACTGATATCTGTTTTTGATTGTTCTGGAGTTTATTTAATTGCGATTATTAAATATTTGGCTACTAAATACTAGAAGTGTCTGATGTTACCATCGTCACAGGTTGCGTCTTCTTCAACACGTAGTGGCTTCCAGGCTGCTTTGTTGCCTAAGAAACTGAAAAAAACTACAGGTGAATCTAAACCTACCTTAGTAATCAAATTTTAAAGAGTAAGATATACTTAAACTATACTAAAAAGAATACAAAATCTCAAATAATAGTTTAATTAGTCGACAAAAACAAATCTGATTTCATATTGACGAAAAATTAAAGTATTAAGTTAATTTATTACACAACTTCAATGAATTCAAAATATTAACTAAGTTCTCACGATCTCCGTAAAGAAATTTTCTGTAATCTTTTGATGTCGATAAATAGGTATATCAAAAAAGTTTTTCATGGTTTACGCATAATAAATTTATACTTCACAAGTAAATAATATTCCAAATGCTATAGGCCGATAAATAGACATGTTCAATAAGTGCCATGATCATCAGCAAAGAGCTTAATAAATCTCTTTTGTTCTCGAATAATAACAAATTGACTTTTATTTATCACTTCATCCATTGTATCGTACAAATTTAAATCCTTAAAGTTGGACATATTTGAAACAAACGTAGATCCAGAAAAAGCTGCAAGAAATGGTATCAGTTAATTAATTAAATTTTTATCGAAAAAAATGTACACAATTAAAGTTTCGTAAAACAAATAAGGTATGATTTTCATAATATTTGTTAGACTATTCCCAGAAACCAAACAATCAACGTAAACGTCGAATGTTAATACTTCGCGTTACAAATGCCATAAGGGCGTATTAGCCTATTATACGCCCTTATGGCACCCGGGTACCATAAGGGCGTACCAAAAAATTTTTTCGAGAATCGACGTAGTTATGCCTAAAACGGGAAGTGATGCAAAAAAAATTTTGGTACGCCCTTATGGCTCCCGGTAGGTACCCTGGGTGCCATAAGGGCGTACCAAAATTATTTTTTGCTTTTCTGCCCGTTTCAGGCATAACTACATCGATTCCCGGAAAAAAATTTTTATACGCCCTTATGGCTTTTCAAGGGTATTTTTTTCGAGATACGCCCTTATGGCATCAGTAACGCGACTTATGTCGTGATTATTATATGATTTTTGTTCTATCTTCACAGTTCTATTCACTTCTATCAAAAAGAATTTTGATTTCCAAATGTAGCTGTTAGTTATAATGTTAATCTTCCATTTTAAAGTTTTCACTGTTTATATAGATTCACTTTGGAACTGAATGTTAAATTCAGAAAAAATTGTAGATCAGTGCAATCATAATCTTTTTGCGTTAATACTTGTTGCGACAAAATCTGCAAGATAAATTTTCTGTTGAAATCTGAAAATCCAAATGTCATTTCTTAAAACAATTCACTACAGTATTAATTAATTTTAAAACAGTTAGTTTCTGAAATAATGAATAAATTTTAACTGAATATGTCTCACTTATTCAAAAAGCTTAATATGATACTATGTTCCCGCATATCTCAAACTCAATGCGAGCAATCCTGAGTACTCTCATAAGTTTAAACTACCACTTTTTCCGATGTATCTCTTCCGTTGGTTGCATGAAGACTGACTTGAAAATCAATAGCACCAATACTAAATTCTTTCTTTTTTACACAAGCTTATTTTGTGCATAAGACTACATCATTGAATAATCATGAGAAAGTTTAATGACAAAGTTTATGAATTCAATATCACCCTTTATTATAGAAATTTTCATAATGTATGCGCAAAGAAACTTTATTCTAAAATTGGTCGCGGTAAAACTTCAGGATATAAACTTTATGAAATTAAAATAAAAATAGTCTGCGTTTGAGAGAGGCTATTGAACTAAATTTGTAGTTACGATGGCAACGACAAAAAATATAAACTGGAATAGCAATACTCAATATGCTTTTGGTCTTTATAAACTTATTACAAAATGTCTTGGAACTTGGCCATTCGACTGTCAATCAATCTTATCAAAAATACAAACACTCATTGTTGTTATTCTCGAGGTGATGTAATACTCAAAAAGAAAATATTTTTTGAAATCACATAAGATAATTATCAGTTATAATGAATATTATATTTGCATTTTTTTTAATATATATATATATGAATTTTGCATAATTTCATTGAATAATTTCATTTTGAATACAGTCGATTATTTTTAAAGTCTGTCTATGCGTCTCTTCCAGTAGAACATTAAGTTATTCTTTCACCAATAGACAATACTCCTGAATAGGAGATCAAAGATTGAAGTTTTCAATAGAGTAGGCTGTGTTCAGAAAAATCAATGAAAATTTTTCAATAGTTGTGACAATTATGTAAAAATAAGTGCACGTGTGTAGATCTGAGTGAAATAACAATGTTAAAAAAAATATTTTCTGAAATGTTTTAAGTTAAAAAAAAATAGAAGAAATTCCGATGAGATTATTATTAACTTAAGGAATTTATAAACAGTTATTGTTCGAATGGGTCATGAAAAAAAACTTTTGCAGTTTGCCAGGAAAAATTTTTAACGGTTACTGGAAGACCTTAAAAAATATTGTAAATTAAAATTAAAAATTCTTCAAATTGCCCAATTTGTTGTGGAATGTCTCATATATGGAAAAAATATTTTATGTTAGAGAACCAATTTTGTTGACTTGAAAAAATATTTTTCAAAACTAAAATTATTTTAGTTAATGAAAAATTTTCTTGAACTAAGACAATTTTCTAGCCTAGAATAAGCTTCTTTTTGCTTGTATAATACAATTTTGATCTTGTTGAGAATTTTTATGATTCAAGTCAACTTTTTTGTTTGTATTGATTGAAATTCTATATTAGAAATTTTGAAAAAATCTTGAACCAAGAGTATCTTTTTAAGAGTTTAACCAAATAAATTTTATTTTGTACAAAAAACTTCCTGTTCGATTCAAAACGATCAAATTTTTCAAATTGTTTTCTTGGTTCAAGATTTTTCACTTAAATGAAGTGAATTTTCGTATCGGTACAGCGAAAAGATATAATAAAATGTTTTACTGTCAGGAGGCTCGGATAAATTTATTTTACCAACTTGAATCGTAAAGTTTTTGAAAATCAATTGTTTTCAATAATCTGTTTGATTGCTATCTCTAAAAATTTAATAATTTTTTAATAGATTACAATGGCAACCAGCATTCTATTGGAATCTAATCTCAACTGCGGAGTATTGCATGATATAAGCCAAATGTACGCGCTAATAGCTTGTTGTTTTATTGTAATAGTGAAATTAGCAACGCTCAGAATTAATAACAAAAAATTTCTCAGAATTATGTCATCGAGTATAAACGACTGGACGACGATGTTAGATCCAAAAGCTTTTGAAATTATGAAAAAGAATGCAAAATTGGCTCGGTTTGTTTGCCTTTTTCAAATGATTTCTGGTTATCTGACAGACGCTATTTTTATTACGGGGCCATTAATATTCCTCGCTATATATGACATACCTATTGATGCTAACATGACGAGCAATTCCTCTGTTCCTAAATTTCAACCTCTGCCTTTGGGAACTGGATGTTTATTCAATGAAATGTCAACACATACATATGCTGCAATTTATATCCTACAATCGATCCAAATTTTATCGACATGCACTGGTAACGTAGGATGTGACTGTTATATTTTTGGGATTGCTTTACATGTCGCCGGACAACTCGATTGGCTAGGGGAACAATTTCGAACTTTGGATATTCAATCAACTGAACAAGAATACACGAAAACACTAGGAGCTCTTGTAAGAAGGCACAATCAATTGATACAGTTTGCAAACGATTTGGAAGATTCATTCAATCTTTGTATTATCCTCATACTCGCGGTGAATATGGTACAAATCTGTTTAAGTGGTAAGAATATTCAAATTTTTTTAATCTTTTAGACTTCATGTCAAAAGCCATGCATTGAAAAACTAATCCCAAATAAAAAAAAATAGAATAAAGAAAGCTACATGAACTTACATGAATTTTCTGTGAACGGAGGCAAGCTGATAGAAGATCAGTTTTCTGACTCATTTAAAAACTATTTTTTGTAATTCCTAGTGCGGAAGCATGACTTTATAAAGCTGTCTTTCAGGTCTAAAATACTTATTTTTTGACAAACAAAAGTTCATCGGAAATTTTGATCATTGTCATTGCTCACATCACTCCTTGAAGAACATAAAAATTTAAAGATAACTCAATATTTACGTACAACGATACATGTAAATAAATTTAACATTAACTTAGTACAAATAACAGTTTTTAAATGCTTATTTTTTCTTTAAATGTCTGAAAAAGTGTTACTAAATGGGAAAAACTTTTAATTTTTCATAATAAGTTGAAGTAGTTCCAAGATTTCGGACTCTTTCAGAAGAGTTATTCAGAATTAATAAGACTTTATATAGGAAAATTTTGCAGCTGCAAAAAAACTTATAGAAAAATTTTCTAGTCCGATATCAGTACACTGAACTCTCTAAATCTGAAACAGTGAAAATCACTAGAAATTAGTGTACACGGAAAGAAAATTATGAGAACTATTCCTATACCATTATGGGAATGGTTCCCATAATGCTATAGGAATAATTCCTATACTATTATAGAAACTATTCCCATAATATTATGGGAACTATTCCTATAATATTATGGGAATGGTTCCCATAATGCTATAGGAATCATTCCTATACTATTATAGGAATGGTTTCCATAATTTATGGGAACCATTCCCATAACAGTATAGGAATGGTTCCCACAACATATAGGCATGATACATTCCTGTGGAAGATACATGACTTTCATACGACAGCAACGTGATTTTCATGTGGCAGGCAATAATAGTTAAAACAACAATAATGATTATAAATAATAATCATAATAATAATGATTTATATTATTAAGAGAATAAGAACAATTTTGTCTGCTGAATAGTCACATGATGAAATCGATTTTTTAGTGAAATTTAGTGTCATTGCAAAGGACTTAACTTGAATTTGTGCCTTTTCAAGGTTTTATATCATTCTCGTCGATAGTCATTCTCGTCGAATTTATAATAGATATTTAGGTTGCATTCGAAAATGATCTATCTCTAAACATATAATTGAGAAATGACCTTGTATCTTGTGAACTATTGACATTTTTAAAGATATAAGCTCATCCCAACATTACACTCATTGAGACCTTTCATTTGAGTACCCATATCAATTTTTGATATATTTTATATATTTATATATATTATATATATATGTATGTATGAAAAATATATCAAAAATGCATGTGGGTACTCAAATAAAAACTCTTGATGAGTGTAACATGAAGACGAGCTTTTATTTTTAAAAATATCAATAATTAAAAAATGACCTTGTATCTTGTGAATTATTGACATTTTTAAAGATATAAGCTCATCCCGACATTACACTCATCGAGACCTTTCATTTGAGTACCCACATCAATTTTTCATATATTTTATATATTTATATATATTATGTATATATGAAAAATATATCAAAAATGCATGTGGGTACTCAAATGAAAGCTCTTGATGAGTGTAACATCGGGATGAGCTTATATCTTCAAAAATGTCAATAGTTTCTAGATACAAGGTCATTTCTTCATTTTGTATCTAGAGTATTTTCGAATGCAGCCTAAATTCTTGTTATAATAAATTGACTATTGGTGAGAATGATATGAAACCTTGAAAAGGCACAACTCCAAGCAAAAATCCATTTTATTTTTAAATTTTTCTTATTCTCTTAATAATATAGATTATTATTATTAAATTATTATTGTTGTTTTAACTATTATTGCCTACAACATGAAAATCATGTGGCTACCCCAATTTTTTTTCCGTGTATATATTGTAGGAACCATTTCGAACTCACTCCGCACGAAGATTTTATCTTCATTTTATTTTGAGTATGATTCCCATGATGGTATAGGAATGATTCATTATGGGAATATTTCCCATAATATTATGGGAATGGTTCCTATAATTGTATAGGAATCATTCCTATAATTATAGAAACCATTCCTATACCATTATGGGAACCATTCCCATCATTATGGGAAAATTTCCCATAATTCTAGGAAAATTTCCTATAATTATGGGAACTGTTCCCATAATTCATGGGAACAGTTCCTATAATTACCTAGGAACTGTTCCCATAAAATTATGAGAATAGTTCCCATATTTTTCTTTCCGTGTATATACACTATTCCACAGTTATAACTATACCACTTGGTATTCTTATAACTGTGAAACAGTGAAAAATCACTGTTTCAGATTAAGAGAAAAAGAAATTTTCTTCAAAAATTACTGTTAAATTCACGGTAATCGTGGGACAGATAGCATGTTCTAATCATTTGTCGGTAAGTGAAATAATCTTTTACTTATAAATTTTTTTCAACAAATTTTACAGTAGTCTACCGTAAATTTTATGAAGTCTGCTATAAAATAAATGAATTTTTTCGTAATTTGTATTTTAAATAAACTGCTAATAAATAAAAGGCCCGCATTATGTCCCATGATTACAGTGAATTGAACGGTAATTTTTAGAGAAAATTTCTTTCTGTGTACATAAAATATTAATTTCTCTTATAAAAAAAAAAAAAAAAAAAAAAGATATTTTAAGATGAGCTCACAGTGATAGAGTCCCAGAATATTAAAACGGAACGTCTTAAATACACAGTAAAAAAATTTTTCGTCATTGTGTAAAGTGTAAAAATTTTTGTCTAGAATATTACACTCTAGTGGGTAGAATTTTACATTCTCATGTGTTGATTTAACACACTAAAATGTAGAATTAACATTAGTTTTTGTAAAAACAATCAGTAACACAAAAATTTATGTTAAATTTGACGAAAATTTTTTAACTGTGTAGTCATAAAATTGTCGGATAATAATTTTTCAACAATTTCAAAATCAATTTAAAAAAAGCGTACTCAAAAATGTTGCGGTTAAAAACTCGCAAAATCGCCTTAAAAATTAATTTTCATAACAAATTTGAGAACCAAATTTAAAAAATCTGCTCTCGAAATTTTATTTTGGCGTCTTAAAAGAGTCTTAAAATAGTATCGATTTGTGTCACGCTTAAGATCTTAAACAAACGATTTTTTTAAGACTCTTTTAAGACGATTTTTTTTTCACGGGTTATTTTCAAAAATTTTTTTTATCTTGTCTTACACGAAAAATCGTCTAAGTTGATGATAGTAGATTTTCCAAGCTATGCCCAAGTTTGGCAAACCAAACTTCAGCAAGTCTTCGGTAACCGTGATTTCATGCAAGTCAGGCATACTAATAGTATGTTCATTAAATAAATATCATTAATGATAGATAAAGTCTGCCAAAGCATTGAAATAGTATCATTTTTAAGGAGCTTACCTCAGATTTAACCCTTCTACAAAAAGAAAATTCAGCAATCATGCGCCCTTCGCCAGAGGTTTGAGTATTAAAAATTGTCCTTAACTTAAGTACTAATATTGAGAACCTCCGGCAGAAAACGCATGATCGCATGAAATTTTTTTACAGGCGACTCTTTTGATAATCGTTATTTTCTAGGATTGCAGATGATCGTAGACTTGCGAAATGGAGACATTGCCTCAGTCATTAATGGAGCCATCATTTTTTACGTATTTAATCTTCAAATTTTTCTTTATAGTTATGCGGGTGACCGATTGAGTTATGGAATAGCAAACTTGCACACCGCGATATACTGTAATACATGGTACAATTTACCACAAAAAACTATTAAAGACCTGGTCTTCATTATGCTCAGAACTAATAAAACGTTCAATTTAACTGGCGGAAAAATTTATGCCATGAATATTGATAGTTTTAAAAATATTCTGAAGGCTACTTTATCGTACTTTTCGGTGATGCAAGCTATGTTAGAAGAGTAATTGTATATTAAACTTTATAACAATAAACAATATGGTAAATAGTCAAAAATATCTATGACATCATAAATTTATTTATTACTCAATAAATTCTTGACGCTATTAAAAATTCTACCCTTAACTACAAAGAAAGAAATTTAGATAGCTTTCATTTAACCAATGAATTCTAAGAGTGCCCTAAGATTTTATACACGGTATAAATAATCTCTCAGGCACATAAAATATATTTCAAATAAATAATAACATTAAAAAAAATCTTTCCTGGACGTCCGTATGTCTGTGTTTATGAATCCGTGTATGTGGCAGGGAAATTTGACGAAAAAATAATCGTACCGGAATGATTTTTTTTCTATCATCTAAAGTAACACACTGCGGACTTTCTCAATTAATATGAGCGTTCAATTCATTGTCATTTAATTATTATTTATAAAAAAACTAAGATACGACTGTGTGGTTGTATATCTACATTACGTTGTGTCAAAATTAAATTTCCGTGAGGAACCTTTTAAAATTCAAATTTTGAGTTCCGCTTCTAACAGGAGCTATGTTTGGGCATTTTCTGAGATATTTTGGGGAAGACGATTCATTTGATTTTCATAGAATTTTTTAAAAGGAGCTTTGTTTGGGCACTTCTAGCCAAATGCGAAAATTTCAGCGGAAATGCCCAAACAAAGCTCCTGTTGAAAATTCTATGAAAATCAAATAAATTGTTTTCCCTTAAATATCTCAGGAAATGCCCAAGCACAGCTGTTAAAAGCGGAAGTCAAAATTTCAATTTTAAAAGGTTCCTCACGGAAATTGAATTTTTGCACACCCTAATCTATATATACATTTTATTATAGTATTTTTTTTCTCATCTTAGAATTATGGCGCTACTAAACCATAGAAGAGTTTTCTGTTTTTTGTATTTTATTTTAATCAATTTTATAGTGGAAAATGAGATTATCAGGCATGCACTGTTAAATTTTCTAAACTTTTTTTTTACTTGTGCCGGAAAAACGCTATGAAGTTTTTAAAATGCTAAAAAAGTTGTGTACTTTGTTTCAAAATGTTTATTATTTATTGTTTTACAACAATTCTTCACTGTTACAATTCGTTAACAGTGATAATAAAAAACATTTCTTTTGTTGTAAAATCTTTACAAGGTAACGTATTAAAAGTAGGGCAGACTCACATGTCACTTTCTTATCCGATACACAATAATTCATAAACTACTGTCGATTAATTTTTTGTTTTAGCTTTGTACAGCATTAAAAAAAAAAAAAAAAAAAAAAAGAAATCTGCTACTTTATGCTTTATAACAAAAAATTATAAGTTATATTTACAAATCTTTTATAATCTATCACTTTTATACATAATTTATTCAACTGTTACTTATCAGCGCAGAAAAAGATAAAATTGTTGCAAATTCGAAAAAATTGTTCAATTAATTCATATTTTCTGAACTTTTAAGAAGATGAAAAATCAAATAAGGGCATTTCTAAGGGAGCCAAAGGAGGCAATGGAGCCAACCTTAAAGAATGTCCTTCATTTAAAGACATTTCATCAGTCACAGCAGCTGAAACAGTGTGCAATCTTTGTGTCAATTGTTTAACCTCTTGTTCTTTAGCTTCAAGTTGACTAAGTAAGCTTTCAACAAGAGATCTTAATTGTGAATTAACAGTCCGCAATTCTTCAATAACAGTGACAGTATCTTTAGGATGTTTAAACGCTTGGTCATCGTCAGGCAATGGCATAAGACTCAGCAAGGTGTCCTGCTCTTCTATAGTTTTATAAATAGCTTGTCTCAACGATCCATCAAACTTATCTGTTTCTGCAGAAGCTGTCGATCCTTTGTCATTGTATTTGATTGCATCCTTCTTTAAATGATTTTTTTGCTGAATTTCTAGAGTATTTTTATACTCGTCGTATTGCGCTTGTTTCATTCTAAAATACAAACAAATTAGCTTTATTGAAAATAATGAAATGTAAACAATTTAACCTTACCTCACAACGACAGCTTGTCTTTTATAGTAGTCACTTTGCAACGCCAATGATTCTAGTGCAACTACGGAATGAATTGATGACTTTGAATTTTTAGGTGATGACTCGAAACTTTTTATAACTCCCAAATTTGCACTCAGTTGGCTGTGAGCTTTCCCAAACAGGTCAGCTACCTCTTCATAGCAATCAGCCGCTTCCTCGAATTGTCTTTTCTGCACAAGGGAATCTCCTCTTCTGAGCTTCTCATGAGCCTGAACAAAAATTACTGTTTAAGTAAAATCACGTTAAATCTTTTTTATAAAAATTAATTAAGCCGATATTTGACCATTTTTTAGATTTTTTTGTAACGAACAAATTATGGCAAAAAAAATTGACATGTAAAAATTAAAAAAATTAAAAACACAATTTTTTAAAAACAATTTTTTGAAAGAAATTTGTATTTTAAATCAAGTTAAAAAATGTTCAAGTGACTGTTAACTTTAGTTATATTTTTTTTTTACAAACTGTAATATAATAAAATACTATGTGATTTTTAAAAAACAACACGGAAAAAAAAGAAAGGGAAAAATTACATTATATATAGTTATAAGTTTAGCTTCAAATTTAAAACTAGAGAAAAATTGCAGTTCGCTATAACATTTTTAAAATTCAAACTTTAAATGTTAATTTTCATAGTTTTAAATTTAATATTTACATTTTACAATTTAATTCTTACAAAATCTGTAAAAATTACAGTCTGAAACTAATTTTTCCTGTTTCTTATATAAAACGCTACTTTACACTATATATTGTACTTTTTCTCTTTTTCTTCTTTCCGTGAATTGGCACATTTAACCTAAAATAAACATTTTTTTTCATTTTGAAAAATCTGTAGCTTGATAAGTTAATTACTTTTTCGATTTCATTTTTTTAGCTTTCACGCGGAAAAAAATTACTTGTGGATGTTACATAAATTATGATATCAGATTTACATTTATAAATAATATTACATTTACAAAGAAAAACTGCTAAATATACAGATATGAATATGTCAAAATTACATAATCAAATAATGTCATAAGATTAAGGATGTATGAGCGAGGGAGTGGGGGAATAGTGAATTATAGAGAGAAGGGATGGGCTTATACTATTGCGGGGTGAGGTAACGGAAAGTACCACGTGACGTCTAGTTTACATTTGGCAACACAGCTTTTTGGGGGTTGCAGTCAACCAGTCAGATCGACAACATTCCGAATTATTAAAACTCTAGAAAATTTAAAATTCCGCTACATTCAAAGTTTATAAAATACATTAGCTTAAATAGAATACCAGCCGAAAAACAATTTTGTAAATTATAAAACACCGGGTTATCGAATATAAGTAAATATAAATCTTATATTTCTCAAGAGTTGAAATTAATTTGATTTCGAAAAAGGTTCGTTCCGACGTATATTCATCCAAATACTCATCTATCCGAATAATGATTTGGCCGAAAATTACTCATTCAAAAAATTGGAAATTTTTCTTAGATTGTCTACCTTCACAAGCATGAAATTCGAGTGTTTTCCATACATGCTTGTAAATTAAAATAAAATTAATTAAAAAAAATTAATTAATTTTAAAAAATTTCTAATCTAAATATAAAACTATTTACATTTTTCGGCTAAATGAGTGTTCGTCTGTTTATTCATTTTGGCGTACAAATTTTCGTTGTTATGTTTTTTAATTTATTGAGACTTTGTGACTTTAAAAAATTCTATTAATATAGCTTTAGTTTTTTCTTCATTTAAGATTATATTTTTCGGAATTTTAAAATTTGTAAAATTAATTATTTTAAATTACATTTAATATTTACTTTCTAAGTTCTAGTAATTTATTAATTAATAATTTCGCGAATGTTGTCAGTCTGATTAGTTGACTGCAACCCCTTTTTGGTTAGTTTCTAGCGGTAATATTTGAATGTGTTTAAAAAATGACGGAGCTCTTGAGACGCAACAAAAGGCCATTTTCGTAAGAAACGACCCTTAGAGGTGGAAAGTGATCAATCTTTCAAAAATAAAAAGAAAAAAACTGAACGAATATGTGTTCCAACCCAAGAAAAATAATTTTTTTAACTATAATTATTTATTATAACCACTGTTGTTTTGTACTGCGTTACTTAATAATTAAACAATAATTATTGCCAAGTGTAAATTTTAAAAACCGTCATGCATGTCCTATTTTATTTAATTTATATCATTGACAATTCGTTAATTTATGTAAAAATTCTTTTTAATAATGTAAATATTAATATGAATGTCACCGCGTTTGTCAATGTGTCATGTTACTTTGATTTTTAAATCTCAAAGTGAGGTTATATTTACATCCGTGCTTAATATTTCCGACACCAGCTTCTTGTGGCGCTCATAATAAAAGTGAAACGTTGCCAAGTGTTAAGTCATGGCGAGAAATAATTATTAAACTGAATTTATTTAGATTTCATTTTAATTTTTCTCTTTAGGATGCACCGATGTATAGTGTTTTTATGATTTTATTGACTTACTATAAGTATTATCTTTCTTATTTATAGTTTTTTTTCATATAAAAAGTTCTTTAACATATTTATATTTGATGATTTAGCGTCAAAACTACCCGTTTCTCCATAAGAGCAATGTATTTTATGTCAATTTTTAATAATTATTTTCTTAAAAATTTGCCCCGTTACCTATGCTGAAATTTTAACAGCAAATTCTTTGGGTATAAATCTATCTTTGAAAAAATTTTGGGGACTTAAATCGAAAATTGTTGTCACGCTCATACATCCTTAAGAAAAATTATGTTAATTGTTTAGGAGTAAAAACACTGAACAGTGGTACGCTTTTGCAAATTGCTAAGAAAAAATATTTAATCATTTTCTATAAAGAAAAATCTTAATTAACGTTAAAAAAATTACTTATGATGCACGATAACATTAAAAATTACTTAAGAAATAATATTTTAGAAAATAAAAAATTCTTTTTCATTTCTTGAGAATAAAAAAAATTTTTCTTCTCTTTATTTGCGAAAAATGACATCAAACCATAGTTTAAATATTTTTAGAGCTTTCGTAAGAAAAAATCTTTTTATAAAATTTTTGAGGTTCCCCATTTTTTGCCCCCACCCCACCTCTATTCTAATGTAAGCTTACTTTTTCCAATGTAAAATTTACAAGTTTTTAAATCCTAAATTTACATTTTTTCTATGTAAGTTTAACAGTTTTTCCTCATGCTAAATTTACATTTTTTATAGTGTAAAACTTACATTTATAAAACTCAAAAATTTCACATTGACATTTTTTTTAATGTAATAATAACATTTTGAAAAATGTAAATTCGACAGTTAAGTCTTAAAAAAAGTGAAATTGTAAATTTATTATTTTTTAATGCAATTTGGACAACATTTTTTTTCCTCCGCAGTAGAATTATTTTTTTTAATTATTCAAACTGTCTGCTTTTATTTCGAAAAAGAATCAAAATCTAATTTTTACTGTTTTCAATTTTTTTAAAATCTATATTGTTTACTTCTTAAATTTTTTTTCACGCTCAAAAATTCCCAGAATAATATCTTGTGAAATCAGCTATTTAAAATAATTTTTTTATAATCGATAGGAAAAGAACGAAAAAAACATCACTGGAAAAATTAGAAAATCTACAAAATAGTTTTTTCTAAACAAAAAAGTGGTCACTAAGAAAATTTAAAAAGAAAAAACGGTTCACAGTCGATGTAATTTTTATCTAAAAAAATTTTTTTTATTATAAACATTTTAAATTTAGCGTAAAATGCTTCATACTTATTTTTTTATTTTTTCTTCTGATGTGATTGAATTGTTAATTAAACTTATATGACTAATCAAAATGAGCTGTAATTAAACGTAAATAATTTTTCATGTTTAACAAGAATTAAATTTTCATAAATTTTCTATAAAATACGTATAAATATTTTTTTATACTATCGAAGTAATGATAAGGTAAAAGTCCCTATTATGAGACGATGTCCCCATTTATGATACACTACATAAAAATACTATTTTATAAAAAAAAACACACCGCTAGCATACCAAAAGTATAATAAATATATTATTTCATCTATTCCAAAAGCAATTTTCGACTTTGGTTGTTAATTAATTCCATACTGTTTTTTAAAAATATTTATTAAAGTGCGAGGTTTGTTATCTGTGCTCAAAGCCACGACCGAGAATAGTAAAGACTTCAGTGAAGACAACGTAATTGATCAAACTATCTCTACTGATGATACAAATTTAGATATATCTGCAAAACCCAGAGTGATTATAACAGAGCTCACAAATATTCATTCTACAAATCTTATAAACAACAAAGTTTATCAATTAGGTATGTAAATGTCAATCTCACATTCATGTTCAATAAATTTAACTTAATGTGACTTTTTTTCAGAACTTATAAAAGAAAATTCAGATCCAGAAAAAACATGAAAGAAGAAAAATTTAACAATAAAAAAATATTACAAGAAGAAAAAAAAATTAATGGCTCAAGTCAAGGAATGACAAAAAAAATCAAGAAAGAACAATAGATTTAATTCAATAATTTGCGTTGATTAATTGTTTAACTGATAAAAAATTTTTTATAAGTTAATTAAAAATTAAAGTAATTCCTTCTTTTGTAAATACGATTGTCTAAAATTGATAAATATATAAAATTTGATCAACTTTGCTGATTTTTTAACTGTCTCAAAAATAGGGTCCTGTGGTTTGAGACACTGGGGACATGTGACTTTAAAGTGTCTCATAAATAGGGTCATGTAGGTTCCCCAAAAAAACCATAATTTAATTAATTTTTGACCAAAAAAACTATAAAAACAATATGAACATTGATTTAATGATCATCAAATTATCGTATAAAGATTTTTTAAAAATACTCCAAATTGAAATTTTTTGAAATCCGTAGCAGACGCGATAGAGAGATATATAAAACAAATTCCCACTAAATTTCAAAGGAATCGGTGGGGTAGAACTTAAGATATCATGTCAATCACTTTAAAAAAAGTAGTTTCGAGAAAATCGCGTTTAAAGTTTTAGAAACGATTTCAGTAAAATAACTCATAATAATATTTAATATTCACTTTGGATTAATCGCGAATCCCAGATCCGTAAATTGAGCCTTCTTCTACTTCCTACTCGATGTTTTGCGAAGTTCTTTCTGCTAATCGAGCTGTTCTGCCTTCTATTGAAGAAGCAGAAGCAGAAGCAGCTGCGTCACAAAATCCACGGTATCTCCGAAAATAATTCGGATTTTTAAAAAT